TGCATGTCTCTCTTTGTTTTAAGAGAGTACATTCCCAATTCTGCTCTCAATACAGTGTTGCTCGTTGTACTTGAACATCCTAATATTTTCTTGGCCGCTGCCATCTGCACCGTTTCCAGCTGCTTGACGGCCTTTTCGTTACCTTCCCATACCTCTCCTGCATACTCTAGCTTAGGTACAATCACATTCAAGAGAATACACCTCTTAATCCTAGTGTCTAGGTGTGGGTCCGTAAGGATCTCGTCCATCTTGCCTATCTGAGCTTTACCCTTCCCAATCAACTTCGCTATGTGTGCGTCCCATGAGCACTCCTTCGAAATCTCTACTCCCAGGTACGTATACTTGTCTACTACCGGTAGTTCTTCCTCCCCCCATTTCCATTTGAATTCTACGGGATTTTTGTTGTCTTCGTTACAGACCACTACTGCGCATTTTCCTACGTTCGCCGACAGTCTCCATTTTCGGGTGTATCCTACCGCCGCATCTATTTGTTCTTGCAACCCTTCTGGTGTTTCGGATACCCCCACGAAATCATCTGCAAACATCAGTCCGGACACACTCTTTCCCCCTACTTGGACTCCCTGTCTTACTGCTTCAACCGCCCTTATCAAATCGTTGATGTAAATCTTAAAAAGAGTGGGTGACATCGTACAGCCCTGTGCGACTCCTTGGAGTATATCCACGTACTTCGAAATTTCCCCATCCAACATCACCGCACTTCTTGTGCATTCTGTCATATTTTTCAACATCCTCCACATTTTCCCACGGATGCCGATGTCCCACATCTTTTTCCACAATCCATTGCGCCATACGGTGTCGTAGGCTTTTTGTACATCGAGGAAGAAACAGTATGTCGTACGCCCGGCGTCTTTCCTACCTTGGATGATTTTACTCAACGTATATACATGGTCTACACAACTACGATCTGGTCTAAATCCAGCTTGTCCTTCGCTGATCTTTTGTTTCCCCTCCAACATGTCTTCCCATTCTATTGTCTAGCATCTTGCCAAACAGTTTCCCCACTGTGCTCAGCAGGGTTATCCCTCTATAATTCCCCGGGTCGGCTTTATCCCCCTTTTTGAACAGGTTCACGACTACTCCTTCTCTCCATCTCTTCGGCGCGTACTCGTGTTTCCATATCCAGTTGAATATCCGGACCAACATGTTAATCATCCCCTCCCCCCCCTGTTTCAAAAGCTCGTTCACAATTCCATCAGCCCCTGCCGCTTTTCTATTCTTGAGTTTCGCTACGCAGTCCTCTACCTCTTCTCGTGTGAACTCTCCCTGCAACCCGTCTACATCACTACGTTCCCTCCGAGATCTTTCAACGTTTTCCTCTGCCCACGAGTTGATTTCCTTCTCAAACTCCGAGTCGAAGTTGTCGTTGGTGGTGGGTGTCCCAAGTTTGCGGTAGTGCTCTACTAGTACTTCCCTCTTTCCTTGAGAACTGCTTACCATCTTACCCTCGGCAGATCTTAGTGTCGTTATTTCCGTGTCTCCCCCTCTTTTGTTGCCCACTATCCCTTGAATTCCTACCCACATTTGCTTCATCCTCCCCTCAAAAATCTTCGTTAGTCTTTTGGACTACTTCCTCCCACAACCCTTTCTTCTTCTTCACGACCAACTCCTTCGCCCTCTTTCTACTTTCAACATACTCCTTCCATCCTGCATCTGTTTTCCCTGCCGCATATTTTACGTGTGACTCTCTACGTACTCGAATTGCTTGCTTGATTTCTTCGTTCCACCACTTCACTGCTCTCTTACAAACTATCAACTTTCTACCTAGAACTCTACTTGCTGTTGTGTTTACCAGCTCTTCCCACCCTTCTATGATTCTAGACCCGGCCTGGTCCCGGCCTTCGGCATCCTTCGGTGTACCCATTGCCTCTATCAACTCCGAGAGTTTCTTGTCGTTTATAGCCATCTCTTCTTGGAACTCTACCCTCGTTTCTTCTACTTCTAGCTTATCTATTCTCCATCTGTACATGTACAGGACGGCGGGGGGGGGGGGTCACGGGACAGGGTAACAAAAAATCCCGCACTCCTTGCTGTACGGCGTTGGGGGGTTGGCAACACCCGCTAGTTGGACCGAGAATACCGTGACGTGACACCAGGAGGGATGACTACACCGACAGTCTCTGGTCGAAAAACCAACCAACCATACAACACACGCCCTTCCTCCTACGTACCTCCATTTCCTTCATGAGCCGCAGGACGTGCTTCCAGCCCCCCGGGTGGTCCGCGAAGGCCGACATGACGGAAGAGTAGTGGATAACGTTGGGGACTACGACACCACCAGCACCAGCCCCCCCCTCCCGCCGCCGCCGCCGCCGCCGACGACGACGGGGAGGATGAGGCGAGGGAACGGCGGGAGAACCGGAGGCTCCGCTGTCGTTAGCACCGTCGTGGCTGCTCCCCTTCCCTACCTCCCGGTCTCCCCCTTCTCCCCCCACCCCGGCTTCTTCTTGCACCGTCTCCGCGACCGGTCCGACATCAGCCTCCGCCTCCGTCTCCGAGGCGAGCTTTTGCATCTCTCGCAGCACGGCCAGGGCTCTCTCCGGCTCACCGTCCACCCGACAGGCCGTCATGACCAGCGTGTAGGTGATCGAGTCGGGGGCCACGCCCTTCTCGGACATCTCTCGCAGCAGGGCTGCCGCTGCCTCTCCTGCGGAGGGCGCCGCCGGCTTCGAATCATTGCCGCCGTCGCCGCCGTCGCCGCCGCCGGCGCTGCTGTTGCTTTTGGCGTCATCGACATGCTGCTCCACCGCCCTCCACCCGCCCCCGCGGGTCATGCTCGCCCGAATCTCGCCGCCCGTCTTTGGCGACGCCGCCGCCTTGATCGCCCAGTTGTAGAACTCAACGTTGGGGGAGATTTCCCGGCTGCTCATCTCCGAAACCAGGGCGGCCACCTTGAGTTTACGGCGGCGGCGGGGGGTGGTGGTGGCTTGTGATTCTCGAGGTACTACATGGCGGACGTAGAATGGCTCGCACGCTTAAGCCGCGCGTGCCATGACCACAACAGCACAGCAGACACATCTATCTTCCATCGACTTCAACCTCAAACCAGGCCGTCTATAATGCTTCTGCGGAGGCGACACATATCGCAGCTCGCGGTTCCACGAATAAAAAAAAGGGCCTCTTCCGACAACAAACTGGAATTGAAAAAAGCCGGAGAAAAACATTGGACTTCGTTCGAGGCTGCACATGACTACAGAACAGAACGAACCACCAGCCCCCGCCCTTCTACGCTCTTCGATATAAACTCTGTGCATGTCAGCATGGAAAACACGAGGCAAGCTGCAACGGCAGCGCCTCTCTCCTCGGTCTAGGCCTCTCTCTCGAAAGCCGCCAGCAAGGGCGTCGAACCAAGTCCTCTGTAGAAGCCGAAACCAAACCATTAGACCAGCCAGCACCCAATTCTAACGGTTTCGGCTTCTTACCATTATTCCAGCCACGGTGACTAGTAAAACGGTTCGATTTCGGCTTCAACAAAAGTTACCAATGGAGAGGCCAGTCAGCGCCGAACTAGTCAGCGCAGCGCTGACAATTCAGTCTAACGGTTCGATTTCGCTCCTAAAAAACTACCAACAGACTTATTCAATAGTCAGCGGCGGCGACAATTTCGATTTCGTTTTCTAAACTATCTCACCTGGTCCCACTGGTGCGCACTCCCGCAGGCCTTGATCGCCGCCACGAAGTGGAACGCGTTGAGCGCGACGCCGCTCTCCGGCGCCTCCCTCAGCAGGGCCAGGGCGCGCTCCCACTGGCCGCCGTTCTTGCACGCGTTTATGGCGGAGGTGTAGCTCTTGGCCGTCGGCTGCACGCCGTCCTTCCGCATCCGGCCGATGAGCTCGGCCGCCGCATCCCCGGCCCCGCGATCGGCGTACCGCCTCAAGTCTCTGTTGCACGCCTGCAGGCTGCCCAGGGCTGGCCGTGATCCCGCTTCCCTCTTAGACCGCGGCTTTTTCCTCCGGGTTGCTGCTGCTGCTGCTGCTGCTCCACCGCCGCGGGCCTCCTCCTCCTCCTCCTCCTCCTCCTCCTCCGCCTCCACCTCCGCTGTCGCTGCCGGTTGCGGCGGCGTTTTCGGACGCCGTTTCGCCCGTTCCCGCCCCTCGGTCTTTGTGGTCGCCGGCGGCGGTGCTCCGTCTATCCCTCGCAGCATCGACACCAGCCGCTCTGCCTCAACATCGCCGCCGTCAGAAGCGCCGTCCTTGCTGCCGTCGACCCCGATCCCGCCGTTGTTCACCTCGGCGCTGCTACTACTACCGAGGCCAGATCGCACCTCATCGACAAGCCTGTAAGTGTTCTGACTCGGGACCACTCGTTTCTCTGACATCTCCGACACCAGCTCCTTCACTGTCTTCCACCCCTGGGCGGCACCCTTCGCCGCCGCCATTGCCCCGTGGTAGTAGGAGAGGCCGGGAGAGATGCCCAGGCTTGCCATTTCTGACTTGAGAGGAGGGATCTGACGGGGAGCGATCGACGAAAAAAAAAAGAATCGCATCCGGGGAATGGACGAGGTTTTACGGCGTGTTGCAGCGAGAGGCCTCAACTGTTCGCTGGAAAGAGTTAGTTGTCTCGCGATAAATGTGGGACGATGCTTTTGGTCGCGTGCCGGATGGCATGCCCAACCAACCATGCTCACCCATCTACGTGTTCTCTGAAGCGGCGAGGACAAGAGAGAGAGAGAGAGAGAGAGAGAGAGAGAGAGAGAGGGAGAGAGAACAGACCCGTGAAATAAACCTCAATGCGGACTTGCTCTTTCCCGACCGACAAACACCACGGTCCTCCCTCTCTTTCGCGCGCATCACAGCCGCATCGACAGCGAGAAGAGAAGACCTAACACCGCAACCCCGCTCACCTGGTCCAACTGACCGGCGTCGGCGCAGGCTCTCAGGACACCAGTGTAGTGAAAAGCGTTGGGGGTGATCCCGCCGCCCCCCGCGGTCTGGGCTTCCTTGAGCAGCTCCAAGGCCTCCTTCCACTGGCTCGTGCCGTTCCGGCAGGCGTTGATGGCGGAGGTGTAGCTCCTTTCCGTCGGCATCACCCCTGCCTCCCGCATCCGAGCGATCAGCGCGACGGCCTTTTCCCCCTCCCCGCGCTTGGCGTGCCTTCTCAGATCCCCGCGGCACTTTTCCGCGAAACTCAAGCTCGGGACGCCGCCGGCGGTGGCAGCCACCACTTTTGCACCTGCTGCACCATCACCACCGCTGCTGATGCCGACGACACCGTCACCGCCTCCTCCGTCTCCAGCGCTCTTGCCGCCGTCGCCGTTCGGCGGCTGCGTCTGCCGCTGTTTCCGCCGCCGCTGCTGCCGCGGACGCCGTCCCCTGGGCGAGGCTTCTGCTGCTACCCCCGGTCCCGACGGGCTATCCTCTTCCGCGCCCCCTTGCGGTGGCGGGCTACCGCTAGCATCACCACCGCTCGAGTCACACGACGGCGCTAGCGCACCGCCGCCGCGCACGCTACTACTACCGGTGCCACCGCTACGAGCAACAATAGCGGTGTCGCCGGCAAGCTCTTCTCCCGCCCCCTCGGCGTCGGCGGCTGCCGCCGGGGTCGTGGCCAGTCCCCGCCAACGGTGGCCACCGCCGCCGGCGAGATTGATAGCGGGGCCGGCGCTGCTGGGCTGCTGCTCGGGAACCGCGGCCGCCGCCATCGCGGGAGTGGTGGCTCGTCTTATCCTTGCCCCTCCTGCCACTGCATCATTCGGTGCCGCCTGCCCCACCCTAACACCTCCCGCTCCCGGTGTTGCCGACGAAGATGCGGTTCGCGACGGCGTTGCTGCTGCTGCTGCTGCTGCTCCGGTTGTTGATGTCAGTCTGCTGAGACCGCCGCTCCGTGCCTGTGCTGTCGCGGCAGCGCCGCCGCCGTCGGAACAAGGCGCAAGGAGGGAGATGCGCCGGGAGGCTTGTTGGGCCAGCCCTTTCGCACCCCTCGAGCTAGCGGCCGCGTTGAAGCGAAACGCCATGCTGCGCTCTTCCTCCTGTCTTCAGCAGCAAGCAAGGCTGAAAAGCGTGCGATCGATGGCACCACCGCGTAGACGGTATCAAGGGGCACACGAAAAAACACAACGGCAGTGGAGTTGTGGGTTTGGGGAAGGCGTTGGGGCACACTAGACTATTACTGGTATAGCTGCTGGAGCAACGCATCGATAAGCTCACATCGAGGCATGTAAGCAGTGCTGCGCTCTAAGCTTGCGTACCGACATATTTGTTGAAACATCAGCAGCGGGATTGGGGGGAGGGCGGCAGTCGTACATGCGCTCTGAACATCTCGTCTGCCTACATCGGGGGTGCGGAAACCAAGACGGGAGAAGGACTGTGAATAAGAGACGGGGGTCATCCCGCGAAGCTCGAAGCACCGAGTGTCTCGCCCCTGGCTGTATTTACGGGCGACAGGCGGGCAGTGAAAAAGTCGCACCGTGCCACAGAGCGCGCTATTATACACACCGGATGGCTGTTGCAACGATGAGCATGATAAACATGTGTGCCGCGATAAACATGTGTGCCCTTACTACAGACTTCGACGCAAGAGCGTAATATATGGTCTCCAACCATCCCCTTCCGTGTAGTGAGAACTGCCGACTGCGGCACTACACAAAGCTGCTGCTGCTGCTGCCGGGTACTACGATTGTGGGTCTTGCGCAGCCTAATATATATAGTAGAGGAACACACAATCAAATACAGCAGAAAATGCGCACAGCAGTGGTCAGGTCGATAGGAGTGTAGAGGTGGAAAACGCCAGGGCGCTGCTGCTGCTCAGCTACTATGCCGTCGCCGTACCAAGTGCCGTAGCATCTATAGTAACTGCAGTGGCGCAGGTTGCAGTTAGCAGGCGACAGGTCCCTTGCAACGCTAAATAGGCCCGAGGGAAGGACGCGGTCCAAAACAGCCCACTGGGTGACACAAGATACCACACCCCCAGGACCGATTTGCAAAAGCTCGACGATGCGTTTTCGGGATGCTCTCGACGAGACGGCTTCAACCAATTTCGCCGCCTCCACCCTTTCTGCTCTGGAGAAGTTGAGCTTTGAGAATCGGCCCAGGGGGTGTGACAGCTATGTGTATGCTGTGCGTGAAGCCCTCACGAGTTCCCTATGTATGTACAGCAGTAGTATTTTGTTTGTACAACATCTAGCCAGCGCTTGCCCCCAGTATTTTTCCTACAGCAGTAGACGTGGAACACCGCTGAGCTCCCCTTATACCCGACTCATCCACGCATACACCTCGAATACCCCTGACCACACCTCTAAAGCACGGTGCATGGCTTCTTGGCACGCATGCATGGCACACAACGGCCTGGATGTGCCATGTTCACATCGACCACACACCTCTCTTCCTGTCTCTCGTTGGCAAGACACAATTTGCTGCTGCGCGGGAGTGGCACAAACGCAAACATGACACCTCTCACCTCTATGCTTGTCACCACCACGTCCTTCCAGCCTCACGCTGCTGCTTTCATGCCCCGATGCCGCCCCTGCTGCTTTGTCCTGCTGCGTCGTGTCGCGGCGTCGCGGCTTGGACCATGGCTCCCTTGCCGGCATTCCTGCCGTCGGTCATACGGGACTGTCAGAATTCACTGCACGGAAGGCCGGTGATTCGTCGCGGATCCTCCGACCTCCGACAACACTACGATCTGCCTCATGCTGTCCAGTATTCTTCGCACACCGTGCACACACATTGTGGGGGTGGTATACCTTGGCCGTCCTCCTGCCGGGAAGTCTCTCCACCGGTGGATGTGCGCTGCTGATGGATTTCTGCCTGGCTGCCGCTAACTTTTTTTGAATGTTGATCAAGTACAATACACTTTGTGTGCTTCTCAGGACCAGGACTTCCACGACATCGCCCTGCTCAGGAGAGCACCGTCTAGCGGAAAAATTGCACACTTCGACCGATGGCTCCTCAAGTGAAACACGCTGGGCTTCCAATTTGTCGGCCAAGGACCCAGAAAGAAAGAGAGGAAAGGGAACTGAACGACTTTTCATTTTACCTACAAACAGGGAGGCCGTGAGAGAGGGCCTGTCGCATGCATCTGGTATGCGCATGGGTTGTCATGTTGTCCCTATTTGAATAGCTAAAGCCCACCGAAGCTGTGCACTACACTGCTGCGCGCCATCACGTTGCGGCTGCCCGGAGAGGATGGGGGAACTAGGTCGTAACGCACACCATCAAGCACGGGCGCTCTCTTACCACCAAGTACCTTTTGCGCTGGACGGCATCCCTCCCCCGGTGAGCAGTCCCGTCGGTCGAATTTACTTCAAATTAGTGTTATTCACGGTGCGGTCTTCTTACCTTACATGAAGATGACAAGTAAAGGGGCTGCAAAGGGGGAACGCCGTCTCTCTGACGCGGTACATCTCTTCAACTTGATCGCCCTCTGACGCGGTGCATCATCTCTTCAAATCGAGCGCGAGAGACTTTGGCAGACACTCTCTTCCCTGTTCGGCGTGATCAAAAAGATCTTTGCCCCATGAAATAATGGCCAGACGCCTTGGAAATTCGCATTCCAAAACTGGTAGCCACAGGCTAGTTCCCGTTAGACCCCACGGCGACCAACTCTTGCGTGCTAAACTAGCAGCCAAGTGCTCTACACGCACTCCAAGGCATCATTCTGCCTCTCGTTCTCTTCCCGCAGGATTCCGAGGACCCCAAAACAACACACATCCAAAATGACCCACAGATATGGGAACAGCAATCCGAAGCAACACATGCAGAGACAGACATACTACCGCGTATTTCAGGCGACGCCTTCGAAAAAAGGTCGAATCACCCTCAGAGTACTGCGTCCTCCTGTACTTGCTTTTACGGGCACACCAACACAAGGGATAAGAAAAGACAAAGACACACAACAAAATTACCAGGGCGGCGAGAGAAAAGAACACCACGTGATTTAAGATGAAAAAAATAATTACATTAGCGTCGTCGTGTACTTGAGAAGAATCATGACACGCATAACAACGTCTACATACTATAATACCCCGCCAAAACCACATCAGACTTCTCCTTGCTTGGTGAACAAGGAGAAAAAAACGAACACCTCATACGCCCCTCTCGCGCACGGCATGCTAACCGGTGGAACGTGGGGCGTGGGCTGCTACTGCTGTGTTAGGACACCACCAGGGCAGAACAGTGAGGCGTCCCACACGGCCCTTCGTCGCAACCGAAGACCTCTACCAACATTTTTAGAAGGCGAAATCAATCCATTAGACACGTCCGCCACTGACTAGTCAAACGGGTTGATTTCGCCTTCTCAAGACCGAGTCCTCACGCAGCCCCACCATTCACTCGAGAGACTATTTATTTGTTTTCACAACGACTGGAACGGCTGCTGCTGCTGGTGCTGCCTGCGATATTGGCCGGACCACACCGCCGTGGGATTCCGAAGCTGCTCAATCTCCGCCGGAGAGAGGGTGTCCAACACCTGCCGTCGGGCACGTTGGGGGGGGGGGGGGGGGGTACTCATGTAAACGCCTGTCGTAGTCCCTAGACCGTTAGCCTCGCATCCCTACAATGCCGGGACGGAGCGATGTGGGGGAGGGGGGGGGTGTACTCATGTAAACGCATATGCTGTAGTCGATAGACCTCGCATCCCTATATTGCCGGGACGGAGCGGAATGCCGGGTATTCGCCGGCCCAGGCTACTGGGGGACGGGGGGACGAAAAAGCGCGTGCCCCTCCGAGAGGTTCCGTAGGCATATCGACTCGGACCGGTCAAGAGTCCGGCAGCCGAATTCCACCCCAGCCATGTGTAACGGTGCGATCGCCTTGAGAAGCAAAAGCTTCCGCCAAGGGTGGCGGCGTTTCGGCCGACAACACAACCATGCCCGGCCGGCGAGACCTCGATCGAGACGCCTCCGGTATGTTGTAACGAGCGTGCATGCTGGCATATGACTACCCCCACCCTATCCCCTAACCGCGGACTAAACAGCACACACCTTTGCGAATCTCCAGATGACGCGCGCGATGTAAAGGCTCAGGGCGAACAAAAAAATGAACCAAATGTAACTGACACCGCCGCCGCGCCAGCGAAGGTGGCGGAACCGGAGCAAGGGGGAGAGAGAGAGCGCGAGTGGCCGAAACGGCACGGCAGGCAAGGAAAAAACGGCGGGAAAAAAGCACGATGGTTCGCAGCGGTAATAGGGGGTGCCTTTAACAGGCGTGGACACTTGACATGACACCTGGACCAACCAACCGTGTTGCTTGCAGCGGGGAGGAGAATGGAGGGGAGGGGGGGGATGTGTCCAACAACAAAATCAGTACACTTGTAAATGGCATGCTTCTCTTCCAAAATTCGCACTCAGTTCAATCAAGGTTTGGCTTCGGGAAGGTCCAGTACAGCAGGAGGGAAGTTAGTTCGCAGAAGGTTCTCGGTGTCACTGCAACAGCACCAACGCCTCGCGCACTTGCCACAAAATGAATCTAAGCGACGACATCCCATTAGAACACCCCCCCCCTCCCCCCTACAGAAAAAAAAGGGTGAATCTTCACCCACAGGCCGATATGACGCCGGGGTCGTTCAATACTCAGAATATGTGTTCTACGACAAAAAAGGGGGGGGGAGGGCAACCCGTACACTCTCTACGCTTACGAACGACAAATACTCTACCCATGCTGCTACCTGCCACCACACCATGGAACACAAGCCTCAGAGAAGTATGGGTGTTTGGTCACTCACCCCTCAAAGACGTAGCTGAGGTACGTGCTGAGACGCAGGAGATAGTAGCAGCAATAGGCGTACGTCCACGCCGTTGAGTATCTCGTCCCCGCCATCCAACCGGACAACGGTCCCTGCGTCCGAAAGCCCAACCGGCGGTTATTGTCAAGCCAGTAGGGGTGGGAGGTGAAGCTTGTTGCACGATACATGAGCCCACAGGCGAAGCGGGCTTTCGTTTCCGAAAGCTATCTTGTTGTTTGGAGCGTATTTGCCGTTAGACACATGCTCGTTCGTCTCTTGTCATAGCCAACCTGGCATTGGTCAAGGGGTGCAGTGACTGAATTGTTACTCTGGTCTTATGTTGCCCTACAACGTCGCGTGCTTCATGGCTGCATGGTGGCACGGCCCGTGATTCCCCTGTGCGAAAAATTGAGCACTGGCGGTTGATGCGGTTCGATCTATGTTACTATTTCTTCGCCAATCCTTTCGTACTTCAACAGTCTAACCTCTTCCTTCTCCACGACGATGGAGGGCGAAAAAGAATGTATGGAACGCGTTCGACTCGAGAGTTGCGGCTACCGTAGCCCATCACAGGGTAAGCACACGGCACGACGACAAAGCAAGGGCTGCATGTATCGCAGGGGGCATGGCCTACCTCGAAGGCAGTCCGAACCCGATATACAGGCTATGCCCTCCCCATCCCACATACCACCCGTCGCACACGAATGAATCGGGTAACCGGTACGCAAGTTGTGTATTGTCATGCCTGAGGTGCGACAAACGTAGATAGATATTCCCTGTCCGAATTCGAACACACAGTGCACCTCTGCCGGCATAGATGGTCATCTCTGTAAACGGACGCGTCCACACACAACGGACGCAGACACTCAATTCTGGCGGCAGGAGCTCCTGCGCTTCATCTCGCCCTCACGTGCTGCGCCAGCCTTCCGAACCCAGCGAAAACAATGCCAAACCGAAGCGAAAAAAACGAAACAAAAAAAAGAAAAGGAACGAACGAGCGCAGGGACGTACGGTGCCCGGCACGCTAACCGAGCACATCTACTAACACCCAAGGGAAAAAAAAAAAAAACTCACCCATAAGAGCAGGAGCAGCAGCATAGGGAAATAGCCGCAATTGATCACGAGGATCAGCCCGTCCAAAACCGCCAGCAAGCGGATCGTCTTCGCCAGAGAAGATGCCTCCATAAGCTTCGCTTCGTGCGGAGCCATGAACCCCGCCACGCCTTGGTTTTCGTCGGGTGCGTGTGTGTGTGTGGATTGGTGGAAACACGAACGGCGTTCGAAGAGCCAATTAGAATTAAGATGGCGGGGGGAGAGAGGGCGTGGATTGGTGGAAATACAAACGGCGTCCGAAGAGCCAGTTGGGATGTAGATGGAGGGGACAGGGTGATGTCGCTAGAGTGTTGCCACTTCCTGGTCAACGACACCGTGGAGCTGATGTACGACCGGCTATATACAGCGACCGCTGCACTGCTGCTGCTACTATACGACTGACTAAACCGCTGCACTGGGTGCTACTCCACGGCAGTCCATCCCGCATGCAGCGAGTGTCAACGTCACCTTCATTGCACCAGAGGGGGGTCTACGACACTACTACTACTACCGCTGCTGTGCCCCCCCCCATTACTTCCCCGCGAGGTCGGCGGTGTTCAGCAGTTACAATGCTTGTGTTCGCTGCCTGCTGTCGAGACCTTGCTCACCGAGGTCGGCTGGATCGAACGGCACAGAAGGGGGGAATATCGCCACGTAACGAGTGCCGGGAGCGCCGGTTTGTTCCGGCATTCCCCTCGCCGTCGGCAGCGCCTGCGTGCGTTGCGCACGTGCGCACGAACACAAGCGAAAAATGCACCGGCGATAAGCAAAGCAAGGGCCGTATGGTAAAGGCGGTTGCTTGATACCGAGGCAGAGAGCTGCCTAAGAACGAGAGGACAATGGGATCAACAAAGTGGCGGCCGGGAAACAAAGCATTCAATCGAAAGCCGTCGCTTTGCTGCGGCTCTTCGGACGGCACTGTCTTACCTGACCGAAGAGTATTGTACCGATCCGGCGTCGCAGAGCTTAGCAACAGAAGAAGCGATGATTCGTCCGGTCAAACCCCAACGGGAAAACTACACTATTCTCCCCGCCGTTTTTGCCCCCTCCCGCCACAACATCTCCCCCCCGGGTTTGCCATCGGGGTTGGGTTTTCGTCGCTTGGCAACGACGTTGTAAAACAAGCCCGCCCCTCGGTGTTTGCCATCGGGATGGCGTTTTCGTCGCTTGGCAATGACGTTGTAACACAAGCCAATTACCTTCGTGAACTCGGCAACCAGGTTACCGTTTGTTTTTTTTTACCTCTGTTTTTTTTTTTGCGGTAACCATAATGGTGGTCGAGTAGATCATGTTGTGCGGGGTCGAGAAACCTCACTCCGCGCAAGGGGGATGATCGCACCACGTTGTGTTAAAATGGTCAAGCATCCTCGAGGCAGTTACACAGTGCTGATAACTGTCTATGGAAGTGAAAGCACCAGAAAATAAATTAAGTCATACGCAGCTGTCATTCGTACGCAAGGAAGTAAGCACAAGATGCCGAACACCCTTAGCAGGATGCAGCGCACCCTTCATGCGACTCGCCGAATACCTCACGGCGCTTCGCGCTTGGTGATGTGAGAGCCTGGTCCGGTGAGAACCCGGCGTGCTCCGTCCCGGCTTTATAGGGATGCGAGGTCAATGGTCTAACGACTACGGCATGCACAACTATGAGTACCCCTCCCCCCCCCCCCACAACATGCTTCAGCGGCGTGTGCCCTCCAACGCCGACCAAGGGGAATGATTTATACCCCAGACGCAGCAGCGGGTCGCGTATTCTCCCGAACTTGTATGCGCTTCGCAGCGGGGTCAGACCTTGTAGTCGCATTCTCTCCATGCAGAGCGCCAGCCTTGTACATGAGAGCCGAGACTATTGCTGTACACACAATGTACATGAACTCTCCGCCAAAAAAAAAAAAAAAACTACTGCTGTGGTATGTTTGTAGCCTCTGCGCCGATTGCAACTCTGAATCCGCTATACTAAACGAATGCTCGACCTTCGCCGGAGTTGGAACCAAGGCTTAGCCCGGGATTCAGCTTCTGAAGAACGCGCCGCTACAAAGTAAATGTACCTCTCCGCATCACACCAGGCTGGCTACTGCTGTATCTACGCACAACCAGTAGAAAATCTAGAGAGCTAAACTCCAAAGAATCACGTGTGATGCGCAGCTGAATTGACCCGTTGCAAGAGCAGCGGCAGGAAAGTCAAGCAGCTGTGAGGACAGCGCCAGCGGTGGTACAAGAGCAGCCGTGACAAACGGGGAATAACGCGGATAATTTACAGACCTCTGTTGCCAATGTTTGTCGATTTACATCTCCGAGGTACACTTGTATCCAAAACTGCGTACCTCGACGGCAGCAGCAGTACAACCCGGCGGGTGAAGAGGATGAGTTCAGCCTTATGAAGTTTTCTGGCGCTAGTGCACAGCAGTGCAGCAAACCACGTGGGGCAACAGCAGTCGACGGACACGCTAATAATCACTGCTGCTGCACGTTCGGTTGTTCCAGTACTCGCTTCTCACGTTTCGAAACTCCTCCTGTTGGAGTCGCTGTGCCAAGTCTTCGTCATTCGTGGTCGGTCCTGGCGCGGGAGCAACGGCGGCAGCGTTACTCCCCTGCTGATACGAGCTTGCATAGTAGGGCTCTTCGATTGGAGGAGCACGTCCCTTGGGGTCAGACATGCGCTTAGTGGAACCTGTAGCGTCAGTCACGCACACTGTGAACAAGGCCCGTGCCCGTGCAATGAATGTGCATTTGGTTGAGAATAGGGGGCGCCGTGGAGATCGACGACTGGAGTTAACGGGTTCTGAATGTACATACCCACGTGAAAACAATAGTCTACGTTGCGAACCCCCCAAGTTTGGATCCACTTTGGATCCACTTCACTGGTGGCCAGAGGGGCAGGTTGGGCACGAACTACAACCTGGGGGGGGGGGAGGTTGGGAGGACGAGTTCGACCTCGAACCCATTTTTTCTTGAGGCTTGCAGCCCGCCGTGTTGATTGCAATAACGCCACTATCCAAGGTGCGGGATAACTTGCACGCTTTGGGCTGCAACCTCCCTACAACCTCCCCCCCCAGGTTGTAGTTGGTGCCCCAACGTACGCACAACCTGCCTCTGGCCACCCGTGTTGGATCCTGCGTTGTCACGCAGCTGCGCACACACCTCGATAAGAGCGGTGGAAGTTTGGGTAGAAGAGGCGTCCTAGGGTTCGCTAGGATCGAGGCAAGTCGCCCATCGTTTGTTTTCACAACATATTTATTTGTGCATGGTTCATGCATAAAATCCCCGAGACGTGGGAGTGGATGCGATGTAGACTACAACCTGCTGCTGCCGTCATCTCAGATCCATCCGCGGATGTACTGCGCTCAGCATCCTATGTAGAGCAAGGACGAGGGCTCCATGCTCGTTACATGCGGAGGGGTCATCACCGTCACGATGTCATCATCAGCAGCAGCAGCACAGTGGACGCGCCGACACGACATCCGCTAGCTTGATGTTCGACAAGCTCGTGGATTTGATGCCGTCGTGTCCGCTGTTGTTGTTGTTCATGTCCATCACGTCGTCGTTGGGTATTATTCCTCGGATGGATGTAAGCACCGTTGGCCCATCCTGGCCGCTCGAATGCGAGGAGAGGGTCGTCACCACGCACGTGCTTGTTCGGCGTACAACACTTTTTTTGGCCTGATCGGAGTTACAGACTTCGCCATGAGACGCCACGCCGCTGAACAACAACCAGTGATGGCCTCAATATAGTTTCATGCGAACGGACGCGATGCGCGAAAGGTACGATCAACCGCCGTGGAGTCAACGAAGATGGTATTTTCTTGTGCTTCAGCGTGGTTGTCACAACCAACAGTGGACACGATGACACGAAATTCGCGCGGGTTTGATGAACATCGAGCGTCGTCGCTGTGAAGATGACATGGAAACGCTGGATGCAACGGATCATCGTCGTCGAGTTTTCACGGATGGATGCCTATAAGCCGTTGGCGCATCGCGACCACTCGCATGCGAGGAGAGTAGTAATAGGTCATCACCACTTGGCACTTGTTCGGCGTACAGCGTTGTATGGTACTGATCGGACTTCGACTTCGCAATGGGACGCTACGCTGTACAACAAACAGTGATGGCCTACAGAATGCCCATACGCGATCGGCCATCCTTTCGAATTGACAGAAAAATGGTTGCTGCTGCCTGCTGCGGCTTTACCCTCTTCGTGAGGTCCCGGTCATCCCACACCCCCTGCTGCCCGCTGAACTACTTGCTGAATGCGGAGCCTTCTGGAGACGTTTTAACGAGCCTGGAACGTCCCATCTTGAAACACAAATATTTTGTTCGCGGTTGGAACGGAGGAAGTCCCCTTCCGCCGCTGCTGCTCCTCCTGCGGAATTGTCTGATCCAGGCCATTCACCGACTCGTGGATGCTCCCGCCTTCGCTGCTCCCCAAGCTGCTACTCCCGGTGTCTGAACCGGCAGGGGGTTGTCCGCGATTGTGCAATGCGTCCTCCTCACCGCCCCCCACCGTATCCTTGCCAGCCGACGCGGCAGCTGCTGCAATATCCATGGCGGCAATCTTGAGGGCCTCGTTCAAAGTCTCCACCTTCGGGGTCCAGCGGAAAAAAAAAAAATCAAATTTCGGTTTTGGAGGGATGGGAATGATTGCGATGGCGTGCGATTGAAATTGGGGGTTGACTCCGGAGATGGTGGTCGTGGCCTTAGTCTGGGGTAGGGTTTGAACCATGAGAGTGCGCGCCCGAAAGAGAGAATTGGCTTGTGGGCTTGGCCGGTGGTGGAGTTTGGGTAGACATCCCGTCACCCATGCATATCGCTGATCACGCCTTTTCCCCGCTTAATCTCATCAAAAAGTTCAGCCTTACTGGCGTCCCGAAACGTGTGTATAGTTTGAAGCGTCTTCCGTCAAGTCGGGGCAAGTAACCACCTCTTTCTGGGGCAATTCTTACGCATTTCTCGCGGTACACAGCCACAATCACGAGCGATAAAGAGAGCGGGCGGGATGGGAAATCCTTGGGGGCTTCGTCGAAAGTGTCAGCTTCGTGGGATGTCTTTCATTGACTTTTTTCACTGAATACTTTACCTATTTCTAGCGTAGTGTTCATGGGTAGATCGGCCCGGCACCCCCGTGTGAGGGATCCCGGGAGCCAAAGAGCAGGCTTGCCTTTCTGTGATTGAGACCGGCCTCTATTCACCGTTGAACTGTCTTGTACGGTCTGCATAAACGGAAACGGCACCCACCCACCGAGCACACGATGCACTCACCTCATCCTTGTACCCCCTTAGCATCTTGTCGACTCTCTTTCTCGCCTCTGCCTCCCGTCTAAGGGTCTCCTGCAAACGCCTCCGGTCGATGTCGAGATCCTGCGTGCTCTAGGTGTTGATGTCGATGGCGCGAGAGTATCCGGGCAACCGGTGGGCGGCGTGAGAAAGGTCCGCAAAATGCCGCAGCATCGGCGAGGTTCAATCCTCAGAAAAAGAGAGGAAATATGGTCAAGAAATCAAGTTTGACTATGCTGGACGCAGCTGGAAGCCACATTCGCATCGACGCTGGACTCATCAGCAACGCGGGTCTCGTATCTGTTGTTTTCTGCCTTTTTTTGTCGGTGGTGGGGTTCAACCTTCCTTCGTTTCCTTGTTTCATCGCACCGATATTTCCCTTTTCTGTACCCCGCTGCTACAAGTAGTTGCTATTGTAGCAATTTCGTTCCTCCTTCGGTGCCAGTGTACGATTCGGTCTCGCTCCTAAAACCCAACACTTCAATCTGTGCAGAAATACTGAGGTTAACGTTGTGCTCGCTCGATAGCTAGATATAGTGTAGACAGTGGTCAATGTACCCCGTCACACCTTCTCGGCCAGACGGAGAGTATCTCTCGTCAGGTTATGAGCGTCGTCCGCAGACAGAAGAAGTGTGTTCATCACCCTCGCCACCCGCCACACCCGGAGGGCCCCAAGCAGTCGCACCCCTGGAAAATGAAGGCAGATATTTTTTACCAGACCGAGGAACGGCGTAGGTGTGCGGTCGTCTTCAGATGAATACTACTTCACATGGGGGCGTACACGCCCACGATTTTTGGCTGGAGATTAACGACGAAGCGAACAGGGTTATGGAACGCCGACAGTAGCTCTACGCTACGCTGTGTTGGGGACAACAACCTATAAGTGACATGCCGAACGTGCGTTTCTTGCAGGGTGCTTGTCTCACCTTTGCCCTTGCCGGAAATTTCCTGGTAGAGGCACAAGGAGACCACGAAAAGGTCGAGGATGTACCCCGCGTGTCGAAAGAACTTTTCGCGAAACGCGGCCAGCAGCATGACCATCTCTATCGCGAAAAGTATGATCGTGAACCCCGTGAAAGACTATGGCAGTTTTTTTTTACATGTGGGCAAAGAGCGCAAGGTGGGCGTGTAGCGGAGGGAGATTGGGCTAGTGTGTGACTGTACGGCGAGCAGGTACGGGTTCGTTCTAGCATGTTCTGCGGGGCAGAGCAGTTTCACTTCGTTCTGCCTGGATTCATCTGCACCTGCCTTTGGATCGTACGTGTCACCCCCCCATGATGCAGTTTCGTGGTATGGGACAAGTACGTCCACGGTAAGCACATGTTTCCTAAAGGACGCATTCGTTCAAGGTAGAATCGATGTCGAAAGCTGCTTGCTGACATAGATTCGCCTTTGGAGAATCCTCGGTCTCACTGCTGTAAGTGTAATACCTGCATGAATCGCGAGACGAGACGAAGCACGAAAGCAGCGAAACCAGCACCGCCGGAGGTCCCCGCCACCTCCTCCGCCCCCCCCTTATCCCCTGCTCCTGACCCCGGCCCTGCCCCCGCAGCTTGAAAGTAGGGCAACAGCTGAGCCGTGCTGGCCACGAGATCGAGATAAATCATCGCCACGACAGCCACTTGCACCTCATACAGTTCCACAAAGCGACCTAGGTTCGCCGCGCTTCCCAAGCCTAGTCCCCCGCCCCATCTTGAAGTTGATCCCGTCGCCTTCCCTGGCTTGTTGCCGGCCTGCTGCTGGCGTTGTTGTGGCTCGCGAATAACCTGATGGGAAGAAAAAACAATCTTGTAGTTTATTGCTACATTTGTCGTGGGGCCCGGTTGCTCGCAACGAGGTGTGGGTTTCTGATGCCAAACACTGCAGTAGAGAGGAAGGGGCACATGTCTTGTTCAACACATTTCCATGTACTAGGAAAAACAAATACGAACACAGAAATACTACCGGTCGAGATATAACCACAGTCGCAGGGGATGTGTTGTATCCTGAAGTGCACACGGCCTGACCTTGCAATAGAAGAGGGTGCGCCAACACCCTACATCAATGACGCAATGCCAGCGACGTAGTACAACACTTGCCTGCTAAACCCAAACGTTGCCCCGTATTTGGCCCCGGATGTGAGCTTAGACTACATGTAATGCTGTCTGTCATGTTCGCTTGAAATTCTATCGCTAGTGGCGGTGATGAGAGAACCTTGGTTTTGAGTATAATTCGTTGGGGTCAGTCATATAGACAGGCAGAGAGCCAGTGTAGAAGTCTTTTTGGTATGAATACGTCCAAGAAGAAGTCTAAAGGACTCACCGACCCCGACGTCGGAGCTACTTCGTCATCGCGCTCGCCGCCACGAGAACCAAGAGGAGACCCAGCAGATGGAGGGGATGAGGGAGAGGACGTGGATGCACCGCTTGTTTGCTTGCGGCTAACCGGATTCCCCACCACTGATGCCCTATTGGTCGATCTTGGTGGCCTGTTGTTTGAGCGAGGGGCACTTCGGGTATTGCTGCTCGGTGGTGGAGGAGTAGCCGTCTCTGCGGCAGCCTCTGCCTCCGCCGTCGCGCGCTGTCGACTCCGAATCGCATGAAACTCGTCGAACGTAAGGGACACCATGGGGCTATGGACAGCCGCAAGCCCTTAGTTCTGCCGAGACGCCGGTGGTGAAGCTGCTACTCTCGTGTTGGCAGGGGACTATCGCCTGGTACACCTTGTTGTGCTGCTGCTGAGATCCTACCTTTGCTCTGTGTTGCAGGTGTTCGTGCTGTCTGGACTGCGGTCGGACCGTTTGTTGTCGCTGGTGGGGATTTGTGGGCAACCAACCTCCAGCCCTCTCTGAGTTGGTGGCTTGATCCACGGTTCTTGTGTCCGTATGCCGCTGATCACGAGATCCACACCACCATTCCTCTGTTGTTGTGGATGTTGTATCTTCGCGGATTGCCGGCTTTGGTCGACTTTGGAGCTGTGCTCTCTGAGCAAACTCCGACGAACAGCAGCTGGGTGTGGCTCGTCCTCTGCTGTATGTGTCTCACCTCATCCGTCACCCGGAACTCGTCGCCTATTTACCTCACACCCTTTGAGCTGGGAAGTTAGTCGTCGCTAATGACAGAGCAGTAGCGGCAGGGTCCAACCAAAAAGGGATCCCAAAAAAATTCTTTGTCTTTGGCGGGATCCGACCGACCGTTTCAGCAACACCCCAACTGATGTTGGAAAATTTGATTTTGAGTGGGGGGGGGGGGGTAGTATCGCCGGCTGGACTCGACTGAGGACCGCGACGCATCATGCATAGCTAACACGGTCACGCCGGGATGGTCCAACTTTTAAGGTGTCTACCGCTTCTCCTGCTGTTCATGCTTGCGGGTGAGTGAACGGTGTACAGGGGTCAAGATGACAAAAGGGAGACGTTGTTGATTGAAATGTCATGTCCCGAGATGCATGAGCAAGGAGATTAATTTTCTGTCCTTTGCTCTGCAGCAGGCTGACGACGCAGTAACCAATGAAGCGTGGCGCCAGGTAGCAAGCACACACGCGCGATCAGCTTCTCGTCACGCCTTTTGACACGCTCGCACGGATACTGATGGGCGGTTACCCGCAGGAATTGCGATCCATGCAAACGCCGGCAGTGGACTCGCATACGAACGGCAATCGCTACAATACGCACACATGAAAAAAAAAAAATACACGAGCGAGCTCTTGACGAAAACTGATGCGCACATGTTTTTTTTGTAAAATACGGTGTACCTGATGTTTTGGATTGTTATTTGTTCTGCCGCTCCTCCTCGCAATCCAAAAACTCCGCTGGCTGACGCTCCCTGCTGCCGGCGCTGCCGTGGGGCGTATCATCGTCAACAGCAGCACGTGCCTTCGTACCTGCGTCACTGGCTCCCGGTCGGACAGCCATCGCTGGTGGAGCTCGCAAGCACGGAGCGGGTCGGACTGCTGTTGCTGGCGTGCGGCAACAGCAGCGCACCAACAGCGCTGGCCTGATGTGCAGCCTGGGCAAGCTGTTCGGAGGAGGCGGGTGAGTCAGCGACTGACCACTGGGCGTGAGCTTAATAATGAATAATATGACCCGTAAAAATGCGCACGACCGTTGCCGCTGACATGCCCCTCGGCACACCCACTTGTTGTTGGTTGATCTGTTCGACCTAGAGGTATTTCAGAGTGAGACCCGGGAGCGTTGTGTAGGCTGTATTTAGACAGTCTAAGCTCTGGTAAGTTGTCAAGCCTAGACTCTATGACAGCGGGGTAAAGGCTGTGTCCGTGCTGTTTCTGACCTCAGCCGAAGAGAGACTGCTGCGTTAGTGATGCACACCTAGGGGTGGAGGAAATCTGCTACTAAAGAACAGCCTATCCACAGTTGATGTGTAGCGACATGACGGATGCTGACGCAGTGCCCTTCTCCCTCACACATGGAACTCTTCGACCCACGTTTGAAACGCGGCGATTTATTTTTTCCATGTGTCAACGGAGACCGTTGCTGGATTACTCCGTTTTGCCGTTCACGGTTCACCACCGTCCATGGACGTGCCTTGTTGTACATACATCATGCACTCCAACACATCCCGTTCGACTGCTGTGGTTTTATATCTCGAACGGGTAGTTTTGCTGCATGCCTACAGTAGTTGTATTTTTTTTTCCTGATCATGTCTGACGCCTTTGATGGTACCCTGCAAGTGGTGCGCAAGGTACATGCACGGCCACCTGCAATGCACCCGACGCCCACCTCCAACAGTCGCTACCAATGCACATACATGTACATGCGGCGACGATGTACTACTTCTGCTGTGAGTGCAGCAACACCAATTGGTCCTGGGATGGAAGTGTCGTGACCCTTTTCGAAACGAAAACAGGTGTGGGGGCGTTTTGCTGGGGGAAGTCAGCGAGCGCCTGTAAAAGCGATGATACAAACACAAGCCAAGACGCCTCTATCTAGCTTTTGTATGTACCCCAAGCTCTGCCTCCAAGCAACAAATTTCGCGTCGTGAGGCCAAACACAACGTAAGTAAACTGCTGTGTAGTGGATTACAGCTTTCTGGTCGCACAAGCAAATGTGTATCTTCCCTCGACGTCACCTCCCGACTACTGTTCTTGGTCGTTGCAAACTCTGTCAAAATCCCGAGCGATGTACAATTGGGTATCTTGCCCTTTCGGTCGTCTGAACGCATGTGTCCGTGCCATTCCGCACGCGACCGTTCTCCTCAGCGACGTTCCACACAAGGCCAGGGAAGACAGCGATCATGCGCACATTCGCGCACCGTGCTTTCGGCTCTTGCTGTTCTTCTAGTCCATTCACGGGAGGAAGTGATGGCGTTGACGGGGTATCTCCCCCAGCAGAGTCCGCCGCAGGGGTAGAGCGCCCGGCAGGGGGAAACGAAGACCTCTTGTCTTTTCCAGTGCAGCCCCAAGCTGTTGAGTGGTAAGTGTAGAGACTTGCTCTTCACGTCCGCCATATTCGGCTTGGCGGGAGATGCAAGTCGTGTGCTTCAACCTCCGGTTGTTCGGCCGAGCGTCAACCACCTGTTCAGCCTTTACAACCAACGTTTTTAGAAGACAAATCACACCATCAGAAGAGTCAGCGCTGACTAGTCTAATGGTTTGATTTCGGATTCTGAAAGCCGTCCAACAGCAGACCTCAGATGGCATGTTCTAGGGCCCTGGCTGTGCCTTTTCGACGAAGGAAAGCGCCGTTCGTTTGCTGCTGGATCAGTGCTCGCCCCCTTACTTATTGGTTGTCACGCCCTCCCCCACCGCCCGGCCTGTCTTACTCAGGGCACCCGCCACGTCCATCTTCGATTTCAAGGTTAAGGATGCTACCGGTGGCGAGGTAGACCTGGCCGACTACAAGGGTCAGAAGAAGGCGTTCCTCATCGTCAATGTGGCGAGTAAATGAGGTATCTATTGTGTGGGCGACGGATAGTGTGGCGATATTGTGTGATACATCAAAGTATAGGATAAGGTGTGGTTGAGGTATTATTGTATCGTTGGAAATGCAGACGATGTGGCGAGCAGTATAAGGAGGTGTTGTGTGCTTGGACTACGGATGTGGCTTGTTGTTGTTCCGTCGCGCTGCACTACTGGTGTAGCTGCACAGGTGCTCAACCGTGCTTTTTTTTTCTACACTGCCCGATGGGGCGAGACTTGTATCTCTGATGGCCCCTTTCCCTCCGGTCCACGTTCGCACAAATGTAATCTGTTCTTCAAGACGCGCTCTTTGCTGCGCTTTGTTGAAATCACAATCGGGGGAGGCCAATCACCAAGCTGCTTGCGTGTCCCCCCGATACAAGTATCTTCCCACCGCAGTACATGCCGCGAACGAACGTGTGGAGAAGCATATCTCCCCCGTCACGCCTTCACCCCCCTGGTGATCTCTTCCCCTTGACCTTGTTCCACCCCCCGACTTTTTTGCGACGTTTTCTGCTCCGCAAGGTCTAACCGCCCAGAACTACGCCGAGCTGGCGGCTCTCTACGGAAAGTACGCCGGCCGCGGCCTAGAGATTCTGGGCTTTCCTTCGAACCAGTTCGGTTCGCAGGTATATGTGTTCATGCGTCTTGTCGTTCTTTTTGTGCTCTTGGTTTCTCGTCGATGGCTATTGCTGTGTAGTTTTTCTCTTTGTATATCTTTGTGAGACCGGTTCGCGGGTGCATGCATGCGTGTTCTATAGTAGTTATTTTTTGTGCTCTTGTTTTCCCTCTCGATGTCTACTGTGCTGTGTTTTTCTTCTTTCGAGTGTCTTTCGTAAGAGAGGCATCTCTCTGTTCCCCTCCCCCAACCCCCGAAGCCATTCCGGATGTTTTATTTTCGGTCGTTGGTTGGTTATGCGCTTTTCTTGCGTTCAGAGGGGCTCCGTCATCCAGTGCTTGTAGCTTATTCATAACCTTTCTCTGTTGGTTGGAGTTCGGGCTGTACTATGTTGTGCGTGCAGTACAAATTACCACGCACAATCAAGTTGGACACTGTTGCTGTCGGAACGTGAGTTGCATGATAGACTACCCCCAACAGGCTCCGACTCGAACCTCCGCACTTGTCGCCATTCTCTCCGCTTCTCTCTACCCTTTGTCCCTTTTATCGTCCCAAACTTGAATTTTTTGTGCCTCTTCTGCTCGTGCCGACTGTTTTTCGCGATGGGGCGTCATTTTGTTCCGGTGCGGCTGTTTCGTTTCGAGAAACAGGAACCAGGCACCAATGCCGAAATCCAGGTGGGCACGTCACCTTGGCCGCGCCATGATGAAACAGTGTCCGACGCTGCCTGTTCACCAAGAGTCGCTACATACAATTCCGTTTGCACGATGATTGCTCGCAGGTTGTCTTGATAGCAGCAGTATCCTTCACAAGGAGTTTAAGCTAGGGCGTAGTAGGGGGTACGGTGTTGGGTTAGGGTTAGGGATGGGCCCCCCTTTCTATTTCATAGATCAACCTAAAGTCCTCGCGGGTGTGATCCTGTCTCGACCGGTGGGTGTCCCGTCGCGTGCGGAAGAGGTGTGGCGTATGCGCATGAGCTGTAGCTTTTCTGTGAACCACGGGCCTCCTGTGTGTCTTTTTAACCTTGTCTGTTCCGCGCGTGCGCGTCCCCGTACCTGCTGCTGTCGCGGCCGAAACGCTCGCGCCCGTCGGCCAGGACTTTGCCAAGGCAAGGGGTGCGACGTACCCCGTCTTTGCCAAGGTCGAGGTGAACGGCTTCGGCGCCATCCCCCTCTACAAGTTCCTGAAGGACAGGCAGGGCGGGGGCTTGGGCATCTCCGCCATCAAGTGGAACTTCACCAAGTGCGTCCGTCCGCAAATCGCGAAGGCCGTGCCCTACGCGGCGTTGTGTCGCAACAGCGATTTGGGGAGTGTCTGGCGCTGTGTCGTGGGAGCCACGTGTTGATACAGTACTCACCTGAGTCTACCTTATCAAGAGCCTTGGTGCAACTATAGCTCGAACTTGCCTATTCTAATTTGTGTATTTGGTGTGCAGAATAGTCCATAGGGAAGCGTGTGCTGGTTCTTGCATCACTGTCGTCGTTTGCAAACGTTGTTTTCCCGGCCGGGACACAGTGTCTGGACCAAACGAAGCAACCGTGAGCCTCCACAGGCACCATGTACTGCTGTGGAGGGGAAGCATGTTGTTGTCCCAGTGTTGCCGGTTCCGGTTCTGCAAATCAGCACTTTGTTTCGTTGGCGAGGCCGCGAGATTGACCATACGCGGTCCGCCCTACCGTGCATGCGCACTAACCCCCCCTCACACACACATCTCGGCCCACGCGCGGACCCCGAAACACAATCAGGTTCCTCTGCGATGCCGACGGAGTGCCGGTGAACCGTTTCGGCCCCACGGAAAGCCCGTTTTCCTTCGAGCAGGACATCGTCGACCTCCTCAAGTAAAGCCTCCGGCCGTGATGCATGCGCCGCCGCTGCCGCTGCCGCTATTCTGCTACGTGCTCCGAACTAGTTCGTGGGATCAGCCGGCACCGGCACCGACGGTCCCGTTTGTCTCTGCGTCCCCGTTGTGGGTCAGCGGTCGCGGCTCGCAAACGCAAGACCATGCTACGATATTCCCTGGATGTGAGCCAGATCGTCTAGTGTTGGAAAGTCGCTCTACCGGTGTACCGGAACGGCGGTGGCGCGGCAGCCTGCGTTAGGACGTGTCACAGGTGCGGAGCGCAGGAGATGGATGTCCCCCTGGCCACGAACCCACCGCTTGCAGCAGTGCGGAGAGAGGTTGCCCGAGAGTGTTGGGTGTCGGCAGCAGTGCGAGAGGTTTTGAGAGCAAGGTAGCTGCGGAAGGGCAAGACTACGGAGCTGCGTTCGTTGTTGGCCGCATTTTTATTGGATGGTGGCACGCGCTGTGGCTAGGAAAAGGCCAGCGATCCCCGCGGGTGAATGACGGAAATATTTTTGCGAAAAAATCATCGGAAATGGTGATCGCTTTTTCTTGACAAACCCGGGGGGTGGCTGGTTCTTCTTTCGGTTGTGGTTTTGCTGTGCTCAACTTGACAATGTTGATCATGCGGGTTGTAACGACACTCAGTCTATTAGGCCCTTTTTTCCGCCTTTTCTGCCTTGTTTGGGAAGTCGCTACGTGTTTTCTTTTTGAAAGATATAGCGTATCCCGTTTTTTGATGATTCGAAAATTTTGGTGGGAGGCTCGGAGGGAAGGTTTAAGAATTTGGCTTGCTACCATCGTTTTCCTCTTTGGTATTGATTGCAAATTGGGGTAACAAATCCCGCAAAAAAACAATAAAGAATCTTGTCAGAAATTTCGATACTTTATCCAAGTGAAAAATGTGACGGATTTTCCTACTTAGATCAAGTAAAAAATATGACGGATTTTCATACTTCGATCGAGTCAAATATGTGACGGATTTTCATACTTTGATCAAGTAAAAAAACTGATCGAAATCCATAGATGAATCAAGTGAAAAAAGTGATCGGAACCCATAGATTAATCATAAGTTGAACTTGTCACACTTCTTTCCATAGATTAATCAAGTCAAACTTGTCTCACTTGCTCGACTCTTAAGGGCGCGGGGGGGATCGCAGTACTTCCTCTTCAAAAAAACAGAAAACAGGAAACGCCTGGAAACGCCTGCATATCTCGGTTTTCCAAAGTCTAACTCCAGTACGAAACTACCATCGTAAATTAACCGCCCGCAGCGGTCGTCGTCAGCGGTCGTTTGTGTACAATGTTAGTAGCTGAGGTTGTACCCCTTGCGATACACTACAGACTAGCGGTCCGCGATTTTCCAAACGATCCTTCTATCATCGAGTTCGGTGAGCTACAAGCTAGATTTTTGAAGCTGCTGTGCGGTCCAATTTTGAAACGCTTCAAGCACACGGTGAACACGAATCACCGCCTATGTGAGAGTATGGGGCCGCGAACTTCAGCGCAGCTCTTCCCTCACATATCCAGCTGGTCGCCATTGTCGATTTGAATGCTCAAAATTGGACCGCACAGCAGCTTCAAAAATCTAGCTTGTAGCTCACCGAACTCGATGATAGAAGGATCGTTTGGAAAATCGCGGACCGCTAGTCTGTAGTGTATCGCAAGGGGTACAACCTCAGCTACTAACATTGTACACAAGCGACCGCTGCGGGCGGTTAATTTACGATGGTAGTTTCGTACTGGAGTTAGACTTTGGAAAACCGAGATATATATGCAGGCGTTTCCTGGATTTTTCAGAGGAGGTACTACTGCGATCCCCCCCGCGCCCTTAAATCAAGTTATGACCAAACCTAACCAAACCAGACACACACGTTACACAACGACGGCGTTGAATCAGCTGCGTGCGCCTGGCACATAGCATACACACACACATACCGTTTATGACACAAGATAACACACCCCCTTGGCCGATTTTCAAAGCTCAATTTCTCAACAGCAGGAAGAGTCACAGCGCCGAAAACGGCGGCGTTGGAACCGTCTCGTCGAGAGCTGTTCGAAAACGTATTGTTTCGTTTATGCATCCTCTTCGTCGTGGAGTAATCGAGCTTTGAAAATCGGTCCAGGGGGTGTGTTATCTTGTGTCATATACGGTAGACATATATATCTCCCTACTGCTGCTGTGTGGACTTTGCGACCCCTACGCCCTATGTGCATGACTCTGTGGTGCATCTCCCACATCAGATGCGGTGTCCCACCAGACTGCTGTGTGCCAGCAAGCTCCTGTGGCACGCACACGCACTGCTGTCATATGTCTCACAATTTTTCGGAAGTAGAACACAACAACAGGCTTGCTTACGATTCCTGGAGAACCGTATTACGCACAAAACATCGCCCACGTTGTTATTCTACATTGGAGCTCGGGCGGACAATATTTTGGCAGCGAAAACCCAGACTTACATGATGTGTTTGATTGATGATGGCAGATTTCCGATGAGAACCGAACTTGAAGCCGAAACAACACCACAAATGGGACATGTTCAACAAATCAGCTGGATGCATGCTCTCAGACTTGTCTACACTTGGCCCGCTACCAAGTGTAGTAAACGTAGGTACTACTGTTGGACAATGCGATGACACGAAGAGCCACAACCATGAATAATCGAATTAGTGAATGAACGAACGAATGAAAGTGTAGAAGCAAGAGGCAAACATTTCAAATCGTCGCATTTGATGGGTTTGATAGGTTTCAAAATTGGTTCGCCAGGCTTTGTCAGCGCGGAACGCGTCCCCGGGGTTTTGAGCCAGTTTTCGCAACTTTGGCCGTCAACCACACGCGCCACGGAGGCCTACCGAGCTCGGGGCACGGGCGTTAATGTACCGACGAGCCTCCTGCGTGCCCCTGAGAAGGAACCGCGATAAAAGACTCGCTGCCGCGAGAGAAAGAAACGCCAAAGCATGAAAAGTGACCAAATCTTATGTATGTACATAGTTTTCGCTGCCAAAATATTGTCCGCCCGAGCTGGCTCCAATGTAGAATAACAACGTGGGCGATGTTTTGTGCGGAAAACAAGCGTTGTCAGACACACAGTCCCTCTGCGGGCAATGCGAATGTGGTCTTGCGTCACCTGAGGGAGGGTAGATACCCACGTCCCGAAGGGAGACCTTGTATGTATATGTATCATTTCGCCTGTTTTTGTGCTTCGGGACATCTTTCGCTGGCTCAAGTCAATCGTTTCTCACGCTTCCTTCTCAGGGGCACGCGGGGGGGGTCGTCGGCACAATACCACGCACGCCCGAGGACCACTATTCAGCCGTGGCGCGTGTGCTTGACGCCCAAAGCTGAAAAAACTGGCTCTATACCCCGGGGATGTGTTCCGCGCGAAAAAAAACTTGGCAAGAAATTCGAAATTTAGACTGTAGCATGCATCGAAACCCACTCTCTCCCGTGGTTCCACGGGCGCTCGCATAGATATAGAGAGCCAGAGAGCCACATACATACCCTGCCGAGTGAATCTACTTCACAGAAGAGGCGGTGGTGACGACCGGCTGCTGGACCCGATCCATAGCCCAATCAAGTCTTGTTGTTCAACATCGGTGTCTCTCTCTTTTGACCTTCGTTTGTGCTGTCGTTTAACCTGAAGCGAAGTACATGTTATGTACCATCACTCACTGTTGTTGATGCGCACAACAACTACATATGTACAGAGGGACCATTATTATTTCATTCATTCAAACTAGAGGGACCATATTGTTTTCATTCGATGAGTCGTTTCTCCCGGCATAATCGGGCACAGACTCCATAGACCCAATAAATGCGCGTGTTGAAGATTCCAAAACACTGAGGTCTACCGTTTGAAATAGATGGGGCATCCGGGCTTGTGCGATCTATTGCAATTGGCAAGAGTGAATTGACACTCACTACAGCACAACAAGTAGTTTGGGCAAGACGTTTGTGGGCACGGAAGCGCACGGGAAACAGGCGCTGCATGCGATCAGCTGGAACACCTCGCACAACCTTCTCTCTGCTCGTGACTGAACTCACAACTGGGCACACCAATTTCACCGTCAGCCAGGACGAGCAGCAAACCATTCAGGACGTCACACCCTCCCCCCATCCATCTCGTTCATCTGGTCACACACTTTCAATCGAGTGTGCAGGGCTTTCCGCGATAATATGGCGGGGCATCTTTAGTGTCCTGATTCAACTCCAGGACATGTTCACTGCCACAAGCGAAAGTGGTGTTCCTGAGCATGGGCACCTCAGCAAGGGTCGACTATTGAATGCAAAACAAGCTCTCCTGTTTTTCGTACCAACTTTTCTGCCTCCGCGACGCAAACCAAACACCCTTCAGGACCATTGCTCGCCCGTGCTTGTCGTGCAATTCATTTTTGTTGGAAATAACAGCTTCGTTCTCCGCCGCGGCAACAGAAGGCGATTGGTTGGTATTCCATGCGTAGCCCCCCGCCCCAGTGATGCAGCAGGTCTTAATTGTCCCATCATCCGCGGAGGTTCTCATTCATCATAATCTCTTCGATATGGACAAGGCACTTGAGAGTTTTTCTCGACATTCGACCACTAGAGTAGTACTGAACCCACGTAACTGGAGAAAGGAGGAGGAGCCTCATGGTCGAGAGGGACGGAAGATGCCGTGGACAAAACGTTGTTCGACAGCCGACGTATGTGCTGCCGATGTTTCTGTCAACTTCGCACGCTGGGCTTCTATGCAGCAGGGTGGATTGTTCGCCATGCACCCTGCATCCAGCGTACTAGTTGCTGTGCGCAGAAGACGAAGAACATAACCGGCCCCATGGCCCGTTTCACTTTATTGCGGTTGCAGTATGCTGCATAGCGTGGCAACGTCCGCAAGCACAATCTAGAAACCGCAAGGCGGGTTCGTTTCAAAACAATAAATGACTTCCGCTCCGGAACGTCCAACACTTCACTAGAAGCAGGAAGAAATCACATATTCAATCTATACCAAAGAGGAAAACGATGGTAGCAAGCCAAATTCTTAAACCTTCCCTCCGAGCCTCCACCAAAATTTTCGAAACATCAAAAAACGGGATACGCTATATCTTTCAAAAAGAAAACACGTAGCGACTTCCCAAACAAGGCAGAAAAGGCGGAAAAGGGGCCTACAGTAGTAGACTGAGTGTCGTTACAACCCGCATGATCAACATTGTCAAGTTGAGCACAGCAAAATCACAGCCGAAAGAAGAACCAGCCACCCCCCGGGTTTGTCAAGAAAAAGCGATCACCGTTTCCGATGATTTTTTCGCAAAAATATTTCCGTCATTCACCCGCGGGGATCGCTGGCCTTTTCCCAGCCACAGCGCGTGCCACCATCCAATAAAAATGCGGCCAACAACGAACGCAGCTCCGCAGTCTTGCCCTTCCACAGCTGCCTTGCTTTCGAACCCCCTGGCACAGCGACCGACACCCAACACTCTGGAGCAAACTCTCTCCGCACTGCTGCAAGATGTGGATTAGTGGCCAGGGGGACATCCATCTCCTGCGCTCCGCACCTGTGAGACGTCCAAACGCAGGCTGCCGCGCCACCGCCGTTCCGGTACACCGGTAGAGCGACTTTCCAACACTAGACGATCTGGCCCCCATTCAGGGAATATCGTCGCATGCTCTTGCGTTTGCGAGCCGCGACCGCTGACCCACAACGGGGACGCAGAGACAAACGGGATCGTCGGTGCCGGTGCCGGTGCCGGTTGGTCCCACGAGCTAGTTCGCCGCACGTAGTAGATTAGCGGCAGCGGCAGCAGCGGCGCATCACGGCCGGAGGCTTTACTTGAGGAGGTCGACGATGTCCTGCTCGAAGGAAAACGGGCTTTCATTGGGGTCGAAACGTTTCACCGGCACTCCGTCGGCATCGCAGAGGAACCTGATTGTGTTTCGGGGTCCGCGCGTGGGCCGAAGGGGTTCGGGGGTGGGATAGTGCGCACGCACGGGGGCGGACAGCGTGTGGTCAATCTCGCGGCCGCGCCAACGAAACAAACTGCTGATTTGCAGAACCGGAACCGGCAACACTGGGACAACAACATGCTTCCCCTCCACAGTACATGATGCCTGTGGAGGCTCACGGTTGCTTCGTTTGGTCCAGACACTGCATCCCGGCCGAGAAAACAACGTTTGCAGACGACGACAGCAATGCCAGAACCAGCACGCGCTTCCCTATGGACTATTCTGCACACCAAATACACAAATTTGGGGAAGCAAGTTCCAGCCAAAGTTGCACCAAGGCTCTTGATAAGGTGGACCCGGGGGAGTACTTGTACCAACACGTGGCTCCCAGCACTCAGCGCCAGATCCTCCCAAATCGCTGTTGCGATACAAGGTGGCAGATACACAACGCCGCGGACGGACGCACTTGGCGAAGTTCCACTTGATGGCGGAGATGTCCAAGCCCCCGCCCTGCCTGTCCTTCAGGAACTTGTAGAGGGGGATGGCGCCGAAGCCGTTCACCTCGACCTTGGCAAAGACGGGGTACGTCGCACCCCTTGCCTTGGCAAAGTCCTGGCCGACGGGCGCGAGCGTTTCGGTCGCGACAGCAGCAGGTACGGGGACGCGCACGCGTGCGTGGAACAGGCAAGGTTAAAAAAGACACACAGGAGGCCCGTGGTTCACAGAAAAGCTACAGCTCATACGCATACGCCACACCTCTTCCGCACGCGACGGGACACCCACCGGTCGAGACAGGATCACCCCTGCGAGGACTTTAGGTTGATCTATGAAATAGAAAGGGGGGGCTATCCCTAACCCTAACCCAACACCGTACCCCCTACTATGCCCTAGCTTAAACTCCTTGTGAAGGATACTGCTGCTATCAAGACAACCTGCGAGCAATCATCGTGCAATCGGAATTGTATGTAGCGACTCTTGGTGAACAGGCAGCGTCGGACACTGTTTCATCATGGCGCGGCCAAGGTGACGTGCCCACCTGGATTTCGGCATTGGTGCCTGGTTCCTGTTTCTCGAAACGAAACAGCCGCACCGGAACAAAATGACGCCCCATCGCGAAAAACAGTCGGCACGAGCAGAAGAGGCGCAAAGTTTGGGACGATAAAAGAGACGAAGGGTAGAGGGAAGCGGAGAGAATGGCGACGAACGCCGAGGTTCGAGTCGGAGCCTGTTGTGGGTAGTCTATCATGCAACTCACGTTTCGACAGCAACAGTGTCCAACTTGATTATGTGTGGCAATGTGCACCATTGTACGCACAACATAGTACAGCCCGAATTCCAACGAAAAGAGAAAAGATATTCACGAGCTATGTACGTTTAAGCAAAAACAAAAGCGAATGGCAATGACAAGATCTGGATGAACTGAAAGCCCCTTTGAACGAAAGAAAAGCGAATGACCAACAACCGAAAATAAGACAATCGGACCGGTTTCGCGGGTTCGGGGAGGGTAAACAAAGGGGCATCTCTCTCACCGAGAGGCCCTTCATGTGGAAACCATGGAACACCCCCCCCACCCCCCCCAGACAAAGATGGACACGTGGGGTAGCCACATTACGCCGCTCACTTGCAGCAGTCTACTGAATAGGATTTAGTTTGTCAATAGCAAAACCAATATACACTTCATTGTATAGGCTTTCGTGCCGCATTCTAAAACCCATAACATACTCCTTATTATTTTAGGATCGTCATACTTATTCCTATACCATACAATAGACCCCCCCCCCCCCCCTCGCGGTCAAGATTGACGCGAAGCCAGAGGGTATTCCAGAATTTTAACTAGCTTGGTGTGGGATCCCGCGCGCGTGCGCTGAAAAAAGCGCGCAATAAATGTCGAAACCACGGGGATTTGGTCAAAACTCCACCCCCCGCAAACGTGTACGGACTCCTCCCCCCGCCCCCCCTGGCGACCAAGATTGACACGTAGCCTGGTGAAGCTCCAATGTTTCCTCATGGAGGGTCCGTTGCTATCACCAACGACACAAAAAAAAAAAAATGACACTGCTGTAGTCAGCGTTAGGAAAACCAAGAGCACAAAAAGAACGAAAAGACGCTGTATGCGTGTGTGTACCTCCGAAGCGAACTCGTTCGAAGGAAAGCCCAGAATCTCCAGACCGAGGCCGGCGTACTTTCCGTAGAGAGCCGCCAGCTCGGCGTAGTTCTGGGCGGTTAGACCTTTCGGAGCAGAAAACGTCGCGAAAAAGTCGGGGGGTGGAACACAAGGTCAAGAGGAAGAGATTGTCAGGCAAGTGAAGGCGTGACGGGGGAGATATGCTTCACCACACGTTCGTTCGCGGCATGTACTGCGGTGGGAAGATACTTGTATCGGGGGAACACGCAAGCAGTTGGTGATTGGCCTCCCCCGATTGTGATTTCAACGAAGCGCAGCGAAACAAGAAAATATTAGATGCACGAATGTGAACCGGCGGGAAACGGGCCGGCAGAGATACAAGTCTCGCCCTCCCAGTCGCCATCGGGCAGTGTTGAAAAAAAAAGACCTGTGCAGCTACACCAGTAGTGCACCGCGATGGAACAAAAACACGCCAAGTCCGTAGTCAAAAGCACACAACACCTCCTCATATTGCTCGCCACACCATCTGCATTTCCAACGATACAATAATACCTCAACCACACCTTATCCTATACTTTATGTTTCACACAATACGCCACACTATCCACCGCCCCAGCAAACAATAGATACCTCATTCGCTCGCCACATTGACGATGAGGAACGCCTTCTTCTGACCCTTGTAGTCGGCCAGGTCTACCTCGCCAGCGGTAGCATCCTTAACCTTAAAATCGAAGATTGAAGTGGCGGGTGCCCTGAGGAAGACAGGCCGGGCGGGGGGGGAGCGCGTGGCAACCAACAAGAAAGGGCGAGCGCTGATCCAGCAGCAAACGAACGACGCTTTCCTTCGTCGAAAAAGCGCAACCAGGATCTTAAAACATGCCATCTTGCGTGTGTGCAATTGCGGCTTTCAGAATCCGAAATCAAACCATTAGACTAGTCAGCGCTGACTCTTCTGATGGTGTGATTTCGGTTTTAAAAAATTGGTTGTAAAGGCTGAACAGGTGGTTGAAAATCGTCCGAACAACCGGAGGTTGAAGCACACGACTTGCATCTCCCGCCGAGCCCTAGACGGCGGATGTGAAGAGCAAGTCTTCCACTTACCACACAACAGCTTGGGGCTGCACTTGACAAGACAAGAAGCTTTCATCGTTCCTCCCCCCCGCGCACTCTACCGCTGCGGCGGACTCTGCTGGTGAAGATACAGTTCAACGCCATCACTTCCTACCGTGAATGGACTAGAACAGCAAGAACCGAAAGCACGGTGCGCGAACGTGCGCATGATTGTTGGATCCCGTGGCCTTGTGTGGATGATACCGAGGAGGAGAACGGCCGCGTGCTGAGCAGGACGAACACGTCCGTTCAGACGACCGAAAAGGGCAAGATACCCAATTATATATCGCTGGGGTTTGACAAAGTTTGTAACGATCAAGAAAAGAACAGTATTAGTAGGGGGGAGAAGCAAGGAAGGAAGATACTCATTCACTTGTCCGACAAAAAGCTGCAATCCACGTTCGCGAAGGTAGGTGACGTTCTAAATCGGCCCGTGCAGACTGTAGGCTTGCACTCTTGCGCGGCGGTGCTGATGGTGGTGGGGGGGAGGGTGGTGGAATTACTGTCTACTTATGTACTACTACAGTATTCTGTTTTGCCTCACGAAGCTTGGAAGTTTGTTGCTGAGAGGCAAGAGATCATAGGCACTCCATGAAGGCTTCCAATTGAATCGTAGCTTCACGGGTGCTCGTTGATTTCCTCCCCAGCAAAACGCTCCCAAAAGCGTTTTCGTTTCGAAAAGGGCCACGACACTTTCATCCTCGGACCAATTGATTGGTGTTGCTGCAGCAGCGTCGTCGCCGCATGTATGTACAATAGGTCACGACCGTTGCAGATGGCTGTCAGGTGCATTGCAGGCGGCCGTGCATGTGAACTGCGTGTACATTGCGTACCACTTGAAGGTACTCCAATGTATTGATTGGTGTCTTCAGACGAGAACGAAGTACTCCAGTAATCAACAACAATTACTCCAGTATGTATTATGCGCGCGCCGTTGAACAAAAGAGTAGCTGTCGAAATGCGGCGGAACATCCTCCGCGAAGAAGGTGGCAGAGTGGCAGCGGTGTCTCCGCTGAGCAGGTGACAGATGTGTGCCTCGACCCTGTCGTTGGCAGGGTCATCCCGGGCAGTAGGGAGGTCACTATATATACGCACGTTCAAATTGGTCGAGATCGAAGTTATTGTACGATGGATGTATGGACGGATGATAGTCTAATCATGATGTGTTCCGGCGACAAAAGAGAGAGTCATCAGTCATCAACTTGTGGTGTGCGTGCAACATTCGGCGGAAGGAACTCCGCGTCGGAAGGTTGCAGCGGTGCAGCCCGAACCTCTCGTTGAATTGGTGGCACACAGCAATTCCAGCGTCGAGGGACTTGTGAATCCAGCTGTAGATTGGACGGGGCTTCGATTTGGTGCAGGATAGGCAACATCCAGGCACAAATTCATCGAGATCGTAGCAATTTGACGCCAGAAGCACCTGCTGCATGCTCGTTTTTCGTGCTTGAAAGGCCATTCAACGACACAGCCACGTTAACGCAGGAGGCGCCAATCAAGCTGAAAATTGCTGAGGGCATCTCAAGCAGTGCAGGACGGCCGATGGTCTGATTCCTCGCGCCGTGGGCGTTCGGGTGAAAAAAGCGCGTGGTTCGGAGCTTCGGAGTGAACGGCGACAAACAGACAGACAGACAGACAGACACTTTTTTTTACCGTTGTGTGAGACCTCTAGAGACCGTATCGGCCTCCTAGAGGAATGGACGGCGGTGCACCATGAACGTCAAACGGAGATATACGGCCAGCAACTTTCTGCTCGTTCATGCACAAAAGATCGCCGTGCTCAAACGTGGGTCGAAGAGCTCTGTGTGAGGGAACAAGGTACTGCGTCAGCATTAGTCATGTCACTACAAGCCAGCTGTGGATACGCTGTTCGTATACATACCGTAATAGTCGGAGAGATGGCACCGGTCCGAGAAATGGCACCGGTCGGGGAGATGGCACCGGGGTGCGCAGGAAAATACCAGAACGGCATGATTTAATTCGATTTACGCACCGGGGTCGGAG